TCATGGTCCTCATCTAGGTATTTGATCTGGATATTCTTCAGTTCAAATGAGACTTTCACCTATAACAGAAATTAACTGTAGTGAAATGGCTCATCTCCATGATGACAGAGAAACAGGCAGCAATGATTAATCCTTTTTATTGATATTTCAAAAGTGTAAATGAAACCAAGATCAATTCTATTCCTCTTTGTCAAATACAAGCTATATATATTTTGTACTTAAAAGAATCAAAGCTTTGTATCCCAGTCATTAAGTCTATAAGCTGTTTAGAATATTTTGCATATACCTATCTTATCTATTAATCAAAAGCTGACTTTGGCAATCTTAGTTTTACCTCCCTTACCCAATAGAGTTGAGTTTTCAACCACATTGCAGACTAGTAAAAATAAATCAAGTAAATAATTTATTCTAACAGATACACTACATTCAATAAAAAATTCTGGGGAACTTGAGAATAAACCTAAAATTTTTAATATAGTACAGGAGTTTCTTCCAGTAAAAAAATATAGTATTTTTTTGTGGAAAAAATGAGTATACACAAATATACTAGCAAGTTAAATATTTCCACACAAAGGGCAAAGCAACTTTATGTCAATATTGAATTAAACCACTTGCAGCAAAAACATGCAAGTTCATGTCCGTTTTTAAATACTGCCTACAGCTGCTCTAAATTTACATTTAATCTTGATTGAAATAATAGTTTCAATTTCTTTTAATGTTTAATGGTCCAAAAACACCTCAGATCTGCTTTCTGCAAGCATACAAAAAGCAACTTGGAGGTGCAAGCAATTATCTTGTTTGATCCTGAACAGAAATTCAATCCCATCCACTTTCGGTTATGAAGCACAGATTGGTGAGTGAACAAATAACTTGAGCAAGAACTGTTCACTTACAAAGAACATTAAAAAATGAAGAGAACACTATTGGGAGCTCGGATATATTTTCGATGATCATCTGGTAGCCTATACCAATTATTAGATTAGTGTTTAGATTTGATTTACTAGAATGTTGTTATTCCTTGTCACTAATCTTGCACTTATACAACTCTGCATAAATTGAGGGAGAAGGTTGAAGCTGTAAAAGATGTTAATGTTATACTAGTTTGACTACTGCATAGCTGGGATATTATAGACATGGCAGCAATAAAACAGCCAAATTGCCTTCAACCTTTTCCATTCTATGGAATTAATGAAGACTGGGGACTTTAATGCAATTGCATTAATCAGATTTGTCAAATTTGCTAATCAAAGGATGGGAAGAAAGCTGAGATCATTCCATGAATGACTAATACTCTTAACATTTTACAGAAACAATCTTCTCAAATTTTATTAATTGTTGGTTTACCACTTCAATTACAATAGGAATTCTAAATATATATTAGAATTAAACAACAAAGATAGAAACAAGTAACAAATAATTAAACCTTATTAACCGTCACACTGGAAAAATGGATGACCATCTGAAACATATGTCCAAAAGTGGGTTCTAGGGCCTGCTGAACTACCCTGTTCTAGGGCCTGCTGAAAAAGCCAGATGTTGGTGAAAACTTAAAACTTAAGTGATTTGAAGACAGCAAAGGGAAATATTAAAACTGTTATTGATCAGTGAATCATAATTAGCAAAGACCGAACTCACCATGGCTTCCAAATCAGCCCATGTGGTTTTAGATGATACAAGGAAGTTCAAAGTGTTACCTTGGAAGGTCACACTGAAATTTACCTGGGGATCCATTCTGTGAATCTGTGGAAAGAAAATGAAAACATCAATTAAAAAACAATGTAGTTGTTCCAAACTTAACTTCTTTTTGAGAGGAACCAAGCTGTCACAATATTTTTATATAATTCAAAGAACCAAAAACCTGGGGTTAGGGCCACCTGGATTTTTCTCTCCCTCTCCCCATCCTTCTGAATATTCTCCTAAACTGTGCTTGCTTGCATATGAGAAAGATAAGAAAACAATGATGAAATTAAGTAACTTTCATCATGTTTTCTCTCTGCTAATTGATATTCATGGATACACTGTGCTTTGGTTAAGTCAGATGCAGAGTTCTGTACTTTGTTAGGTCAGGTTTACCTAACCAAATACACCAAGATTAAAATACCCAGAATCATGTATACAAAGTCAAGGTTAATATGGATTAATCATTATGTTTAACCATATGTTCCATACTAAGAATATGGAATCAATAAAAATCCAAATTGGGTCCAAAAACACCTTTATGATTCTCTGCCCAATAATTTTTTATAGACAATAATAGGCAAACATAAAGGCTAACTTATTGTGAGATACTAAAATTTTGTAAAGGGGTAAAATACAATTTTAAAAATTGAGGCAGAGGGATATAATTTTCAATTAGATTCAATTAAATATCCCTAGATAATAGGGATATTATTTACAATTAGATTTAAAGTAGACAAAATAGTTTATAGTTTTGAACATTGTGAGACTGATACAGAACTGTGTACAAACATGAATATATAACTGCAAAAACTAAGGAACTTTGTTTTTTTATAGCTACAAGATTATTGTATGCACAAATCAAAAAGATTTGGCATTATCCACAATGGAGGAATAGCTGGTGAAGATAATGGATAATACAAATCAAGACTGGGAACACTAGAACTTTGCACATATTCATAAGTCTGTTGTAAATACAATCATATTTGCAGTTTGCAATGCTTCCCAGCCCATGACCAGAATGTACATGTTAACTTGCTCTTAGGACAAAACATGTTTCTATATTTGTTTCTTCATTAATCTACTCATACTCCTTTTTTGGTAGCTCTTCAGAATGGCACTGCTCTGAGGAAAATACCTATGAAGTGGAAATGTGATTTCCCACCATTTTGAGGTAGAAAAGCAAGTATTCTTTAGGCATACTTTTATAACTGTTAGGACTTTCAACAGAAAAGCAGGTCTACAAAAGGTATCCACAGTTATAAAAAATAATCACAGTCATTGGTCTAGAATAGATTATTGAAATCACTTCTCCCCACACAGCCGTAGCAGGACAGCCCTGCTTTTAAATTCTATCGAGCTTTATTGTAGGGCATGCCCCATAAACATCAGCATGTTATATTACTTATAGAACAGTTTTGAAAGAAAAAAAGATATTCTGGAATATTTGAAAGTTCCATACCCTTACAGGAACTTAAAAGTGGCTTATCTGAAATAGAGAGTTTTGGCTACATAATAACTTCACAAACATTCCAGACAAGCACCATGGGACAACTACCATCTTGAAAATCCTTGGAACAGGAAATTGCATATCATGGGATCTACCGGAAAGTCACCATCTTAACTGGCCTACTTGCTACAGTACAAGGTATCTAGTTAGTAGGTTATTCGCCGGGATTAACCGCAGTAATTAATAAAACTACGAAAGCACAGGGGTTGCTACCTTAACGCTGCAATTATGTGCTTACGTATATGGAGGTAAAAGCAACAACATTGACGAATATATGTAGTAAGCATACAAAGCATTTATATTAATATCGCACATTTACTCGAAGGAGAGACTAAGGGCGTTTCCATTTTGGCTTCGCATTAAAATCGAAACGGCCAACTTGGAAAGCCTTAAGGAACAGTTTATTATAATGCAGGAGCCCGAAAAAGTTGCCTGCTGTTGAAGCAACTACCGAAAACGGGTCATTCGCTCTTCACAGGGACGGGGGAAGAGCCGACTTAGTAACACGGCGTTTCCCGAGCACAAAAGCTTTGCGGTGTCCGCTTCTTCTCCAGGACGGAGCTTACTCTTCGCTTACCAAACGCTCAGCAAACCCCCATCCGTCGGCGTCCGCCACCTGGCGCCCTCCAGCTGCACTAAAGCGCCGCAGCCCATGGACGTGGGGGGTGAAGCCGAGGCGGCTATTCTACTACCCCGCACGACTGGAGGACGCCTCTCGGGGGAGGCAGCTCCTTTAAAGAGAAGGGCAGGGAGGCAGCGGGACGGAACTTACTGGACTGCCCAGCAGGTCCTGGACGTCTGACGAGTGGACCTCGGTAAAGACCAAGGTTCCACGCTCAGCGTTCGCCATCCCCTCCCCCCACGCTATGACGCAAGGATACCGCTGGTTTGTCGACCAACTCTTGCAACCGCTGCTGCTTAATGCGCCTGGGCCTCGGGTCCTTTATACTATTGGCTCCCCGCGAGGAGAGAGGCGGATCCTGCAAAAGAACAACAATAACAAGTAAGGAGATGGACGCGTCTCATTTCCAGGGGAAGGGATTTCCGGATCCAGAGCGTGGTAGAAGCCATTTTTTACGTGTCTTCTGTTTTGCAACCAGCCAATGAAAAACCAAGCATTTGACTGCAGTAGAAAGGTCGCGGCAAATACAAAAATCGTCCGAATTCACATTGGATGCTGTGTGAACGTCTTCCTTATCGGGAAGAAATTATCATCGTCTTTCCGAGATTATGAAGGAAACACCATTGCAACCATTTATTTATCAAACTTGTATGCCGCCTTATCACATCGAGAAAGATTTTAGGCGGCTTACACACACACACATATATATGTATGTATGTATACATATATATACATATACATATATATCTATATACACACACACACACATGTATATCTATATATATATAAACTAAAGCTATAACGAGAGCCACTTTGTCGGCTGAGATAAAGTGACTGGCCAAGGTTACTGGCTTCATGTCTGTGATGCCTTAATCCAGGGGCCTCCAATTTTGGCAACTTTAAGACTTGTGGACTTCAACTCCCAGAATTCCTCAGCCAGCAAAGATTAAGGTCTAGTGCCTTAATCACTAGACCAAACTGACTCTCCATCGCTTTTTAGCTAGCTTTAATTGCATTTGAATAAAAACACATGGTTCGGTTGTCAGAAATTAGCGATGAGAATCCTTTCGTACTCGAGCAGCGAGGACTGTTTCCTCCCCCTTCCCCCCTCCCGCCTTTCTGGCGTTACCAATTGGTGGGGCTGGGAATGTTGCAGTCATGGGATCCGGAAGCTACGTGGTGATTGGTTACCAGGCGGTTGTCTCCTCCCCCACCGTATATCAAGGGGAGGAAGGCGCGAAAAAAAAAACAGCGGCAGACCAAAGGAATAAGAGTCACTTTTTAGGGGCGGCAAGAGCTCGGAGGTCGTGCAAAACTCAAGCGAAGGCAGCGTTTAGGTGAGTAATACCTATCTAGCAGTGACGCCAGACGATAGCTGGAGTTTAGATGCGCATTTTTTTTTAAATCTCGGAGATTTTAATCAAGAGGCACTTACTAGTATTATCACTAAAGGAGTTCGGGGGAGATGATGCAAGCATCTAGTTCAGAGGTCTTCAAACAGCCAGTTATGCTGGCTGGAGAATTCTGAGAGTTGAAGTCCACAAGTCTTAAAGCTGCCGAATTTGAAGACCTCTGATCTAGTTCATATGATAAAAGACTGGAATAAGTATCTCCCTTATGTCTATGTCTGCTGACAAAGACATAAATTGTCTTTGTCAGCAGCTAACCTTTCTTTCGGCAGAGTCTGTGTAAGCGAACTCTCTTCCGTTTTTGTTACTATACTCGCTGTATAACCAGGGAAAGGAGAGGGATAAAGTAACATTGTTATTATCTACGTGTGACAGAAAAATCTTTGATTAAAGTTTAATACTTAAAACAAGGCATTTGTTTCCTGTCCATAAAAAAAAGGATTTACCTACAAAATGTAACAACTGGAGGTGGATAGAAAAAGAATGGTCACCAGTAATGCCTACTTATAACTTGATTTCATGAAATTATTTTGGATAGTTTGTGAAATTAGATAGAGATAATGCTGAAAAATACTTGGGCAACAAATCAACAATATTATTAACTAAAGTTTATCAAAAGTTTATTAGAGACATTGTGAGAAAATTGTGTGTGACTCAGCTGAGTCACTTATAAATGAAGAAGGAAAATTCTTAGCAACAGCACTTAGACTTATATACCGCTTCATAGTGCTTTCCAGCCCTCTAAATGGTTTACAGAGTCAGCATATTGCCCACAACAATCTGGGTCCTAATTTTACCAACCTTGGAAGGCTGAGTCAACCTTGAGCCTGATGAGAAACAGAAGTAGCCTGCAGTACTGCACTCTAACCACTGCGCCACCGCGGCTCTTATAATAATGTTCAGGATTCTGTGTTACCACAGATTAGATTACAGAGAAAACTAATTTGGTGTAGTGGTTGAAATGTTAGATTAGAAATGAGAGATTGTTTTAGTCCTGTCTTAAGTAAGAAAGCTGCCTGGGTGACTTTGGGCCAGCCACTCTCAGCCCCACAGAGTTTTTGTTGAGAAAGTAGAAGGAGCCCAAATACTTTTTAGCATTATCTCTAGCTAATTTCACTGACTATCTGAAATATTTGTCACCTTGAGTTATTTACAACATAATGAAAGAAGCATATAAAAAAAATAAAAAGCCTGCTGGGTGATCTTAGACCATTCACTTTTGCTTTGTTGGTTTGAAACACTGGCATGCCAACTCTGTCAAGGAGCTGCTAAGAAGTTGACCCCTAAATTTGAGAGAGACACTATCTTTGCAAAGGGGCTTCTTTGCCACAAATAATTCAGGCAAAGCAAAAAAAAAAAAAATCAAGGAGCTCAAATTCTTTTTATTGATCCAAAACAAATATGTCATATGTCATACATCAGAAAGCAAATGGTTAAATGATAAAAGTCATGTGAGATTTGAATAATAGAAAACATTGATTCTAAATAATTAGATTCAAAAAGTGGCAAATTTGTGGTTTATACTAGTGGTCACCAACTGGTGGTCCACGGACCACCGGTAGTCTGCGAGAAAATTTTGGCAGTCCGCAAAAAAATTATTTGCATTTTTTATATTGCACTAAATTAGGGGTCCTCAAACTATGGCCTCTGGGACAGATACGTGCAATGAACGCTTATGTTTATTTATTTATTATTATTATTTATTAATCAAATTTCTATACCGCCCTACTCCCGAAGGACTCAGGGCGGTGAACAGCCAAGATAAAATACAGATAATACAAATATTAAAAAAATCCCTTAAAATTATTAAATATTTTGGCCGAAACACAGATTACAACATCCAATTTATAAACTCACACGAATTAAAAATTTAAAAGAGGAGAGTTAGGCCTGCTGAAATAAAAAAGTTTTGAGAGCACGACGAAACGTGCACAGGTCCGGGATCCTCCATATCTCTGGGGGGAGCTCGTTCCAGATGGTAGGTGCCCCCACACAGAGAAGGCTCTCCCCCTGGGGACCGCCAGTCGACACTGTTTGGCCGACGGCACCCTGAGAAGCCCCTCTCTATGGGAGCGTACTGGTCGGTGAGAGGCTATTAGTAGCAGAAGGCAGTCTCGTAAATACCCCGGTCCGATGCCATAGAGCACTCTAAAGGTGGTAACCAAAACCTTGAAGCGCACCCGGAAGACCACCGGGAGCCAGTGCAGCTCGCGCAGGAGGGTGGTCACATGGGAGCACCACGTCGCTCCCATAACCACCCGCGCGGCCACATTCTGGACCAGCTGGAGCCTCCAGGGGCTCCTCAAGGGGAGCCCCATGTAGAGAGCATTGCAGTAGTCCAGGCGGGAAGTAACGAGAACATGAGTGACCGTATTTAACGAGTCCCGATCCAGAAAGGGACGCAACTGGCGAATCAGGCGGACCTGATAAAAAGTCCCCCTGGCCACGGCCGTCATATGCTCTTCCAAAGACAGCCATGAGTCCAGGAGGACACCCAAGTTGCAAACCCTCTCCATGGGGGCCAATGACTCGCCCCCAATAGTCAGTGATGGCACCAACTGACTATATCGGGATGTCGGAAACCACAGCCACTCAGTCTTGGATGGGTTGAGCCTGAGTCTGTTTCTCCCCATCCAGATCCGCACGGCCTCCAGACACCGGGACATCACTTCAAGAGCATCATTGGGGTGGTCCGGGGTGGAGATGTACAGCTGAGTGTCGTCAGCATACTAATGGTACTTCACCCCGAAATCACGGATGATCTCACCCAGCGGCTTCACATAAATGTTGAACAGAAGGGGCGAGAGGACCGACCCTTGTGGCACCCGACATACAAGGGGCCTCGGGGTCGACCTCTGCCCCCCTGTCAACACGGACTGCAACCGGTCAGAGAGAAAGGAGGAGAACCACCGTAGGACGGTACCCCCCACCCCTAACTCCTCTAGCCGGTGCAGCATGATACCATGGTCGATGGTATCAAAAGCCGCTGAGAGGTCTAATAGGACTAGGACAGAGGAACAACCCCTGTCCCGAGCCCTTCAGAGATCATCAACCAACGCGACCAATGCCGTTTCCGTGCTGTACCCAGGCCTGAAGTCCGACTGGAACGGATCCAGATACGACGATTCATCCAGGTACTGGGGGAGCTGTCGCGTTACCACACTCTCAACAACCTTCGCAACGAAGCGAAGGTTGGAGACTGGACGATAATTTGCCAACACTGCTGGGACCAGGGAAGGCTTCTTGAGGAGAGGCCTCACCACCGCCTCTTTCAAGGTGGCAGGGAAGACACCCTCACTCAAAGAAGCATTTATAATCCCCTGGAGCCAGCCTCATGTAACCTCCCGAGAGGCCAGCACCAACCAGGAGGAACACGGGTCCAGTAAACATGTGGCTGCACTCAGTCTGCCCAGTATCCTGTCCACGACTTTGGGCATCACAGAATCAAACTCTTCCCAGATAATACTCACAAGATCTGCCTCTGTCCTCCCCACTGAATCTACCCAGTCAGAGTCCAGGTGTTCCCGAATCTGAGCGATTTTGTCATACAGATACTGTACAAAATCCTCGGCTCTACCCTCCAAGGGGTCCTCCTGCGCTTCCTGGTGGAGCAGGGAGCGGGTCACCCTAAACAGGGCGGCCGGGCAATTATCTGATGACGCAATAAGAGCGGCAAAATAGTTATACTTCGCCGCTTTTATCGCCACCAGGTAGGTCTTAATATGAGACCTTACCAGTGTTCAGTCAGATTCAGAATGGCTGGCCCTCCAACCACTCTCCAGGTGTCTTTTCTGGCGCTTCATCTCCCTCAGCTCCTCAGTGAACCAAGGCGAGATCGGCGCCGGAGGCCACAAAGGCACGACCCGATCCAAAGCTCCAATGGCCGCCCTATCCCAGGTGGCCACCAGCTCCTCAGTCGAGCCGTGTGCCAGAGCCTCAGGAAATGGCCCAAGCTCCGTCTGGAACCTATCTGGATCCATCAGGCGCCTGGGGCGGTACCACCTCAATGGTTCCGCCTCCCTGTGGCGGGGTGTGGCGGTTCGAAGGTCAAAGCGAAGGAGGGAGTGATCTGACCATGACAAGAGCTCGATCACTATATCCCCTATCTCAAGATCACTCAACCATTGACAAAAACCAGGTCTAGCGTGTTTCCCCCCGTGTGAGTAGGTCCATGAACTAACTGGGTCAGGTCCATGGCCGTCATGGAAGCCATGAACTCCCGAGCCACCTCAGACGCCTCACCGACGGATGGCAGGTTAAAATCCCCCATGACCATAAGCCTGGGGGTGTCAACCGCCACCACGGCTATAACGTTGAGCAGCTCGGGCAGGGCTGCCGTCACGTGGCAGGGAGCCAGGTACGTAACCAGCACGCCCATCTGCACCCCATAACCCCACTTCACAAGGAGGGACTCACATCCAGCCGTCTGAGGAACAGTGGTGTCCCTCGGACCAAGACCTTCTCTAATAACAACCGCCACCCCCCCCCGCCCCTGTGTCCTCGGCTGATGGAATGCACGGAAACCAGGTGGGCACATCTCAACGAGGGGGACCCCCCCCGCCTCCTGGCCCAGCCAGGTCTCCATAATACCCGCCAGGTCCGCTCCCCCCTCCTGAACAAGATCACAAATGAGGGGGGCTTTATTTACCACGGACCGGGCGTTGCACAGCATCAGCCGAAGGCCCAGGGCCTGAGGGTCTGTGCAACCTGGGGAACGAGAGGAGCATTGGAGGCCGGAGCGCGCCACCGCTTGGAGCCAGCGGGCGCGTTCTCCCATAACCTGATGTGGCCCCCTGCTCCCGCCATATCTGCCCCTCCCACCCACAGTACTGATGTAATGTCCATCCAGCACAAGCTCTAACCCCCCTCCTTGACCCTGGTTCCCGCATCTCTTGTGCCGCGCTCTTCAGCCGGCACTGGCCTCCTCCCCGACAGGTTCTCCCCCAAACCCACAGAGCCCACCCGCTCCCAGAAACCTTTAAAACCTTATCTAAAAATTTCCCCAAAAAACCCCACAACCCCCTCCTCGCTGCATGCCACCTCTCGGGATTTCAAAATCCGTCATCAAGGTAGGCCCTCGATAGTGAGGAGGGCCAAACCTGCGAGAGGGGGAGTCTCGCAGCGCATGCAGGTCAGCAGCCGTAAACATCGCACAAAACAGAGGTGGAGAGTCAACTGGTCAGGGCTTCACCAGATTGTCCAATAATACTGGGTCAAAGTAGATCTTCATATCAGGAGCTGATTCACTGCCCTCTCACGGCAGTGAAAGGGGCCAGTGGCATCCCCCCACGTCCGGAGGATAGTTATCCCAGTCACCCTCTCACAGTGACTGGGCCAGATGACACCAACAATAAAGTCACAATAGTCCATCTTTTCATCTGGCGGATGACAAACAGCCCCCTCAGCACCTGCACACCGTTTTGCCCAGTTCTCCTCTAGTTTGGGGTCGCACAAGAAGCCAACAGTTTGTAAAGTTATTAAAGACAATGATGATAATTCCACAGGCACAAGTTCTTCCCTGGGGAGAGAGTAGGGATAGCAGACAAAGAACCCAGTCCAAGTCCAAGGGTGGGTGGCCAACAAAGGCCAACACCCACCCATACCTGGGGGAAGAAGGGGGGGAGGAGAAGCCACCCGAGGCAACCAATAGAGCCCTGGTCAGCCTCCCGCCTCTCCTGCCCCAAATCTCCCCAAATCCCCAGTCTCAGCTCTGATGATAAAGACCCCGGATAATAGGGGTCATAGTCCCCAAAAAAAAAAAAAAGCAGATGGTAATCCTGAGGGCAAGGCTTCCGTATTCCCCCCAGCCATCTACTGCAAGCTCTTTCCTAGCCGGATGATCTGTGGCAGCCATTGCCTTCCGCCGCCGGCGGCTCGCAACCGGCACCCTGGGCTCCCCCAGGACCTCCGAAAAACATCCGGAGAGCGTCCCAGAGATCCCTGAGGGGCGAGGGGGATGAAGGGCACCTCCAAGCCCCCGCCGCCGCACAGAAACGCCGAACGCTCCGGCCTCCACTTCTTCTGGTGCTGACAAGCCGGAAACAGCTGTTTCAGCAGGCCGTTGCCCCATCTCCCGCGGTGGCTTCAAACAGCGAGTCCCGCCCTGCCGTGATATTCCGGAGGGCGAAAAAGCCCTCAGCAGGCAGGGCGGGCATTCCCCTTCTTGGGACTGGAGCCGGAGATAGTTAAAACGGCTCCCGAAGACCCCGACACCAGCAACCTCTCCATCTTCTCAGGGCAGCTCAGTCGACCGCTGCCATTTTGGGACACGCCGGAAGATTAGTCTTGTTGCAGAGAGTCTCCCCCTTTGGGGTCTTTTTGTGTGGGTCAGAGGGGGACAGAAATTCTGACTTGGGGTCTGCTTTGGCCTCCTGGTGCGGGGCTTTGGGCAAAGGCTGGAGGGAAGTGCCACTGGTGGCAAAGACCCGGAGGGCCTTATTCCAGTATGACTGCATCATGGCCTGAAACTGGCTGACCATCTCAACCCGCTGAGCCTCCAAGCATCGCTATCTGGCCTTGCACTCCTGCAGGTCTTTCCTCTACTTGGAAAGTCTATGCTCGTAATCCTCAGTAAGGTGCTTCTGGTGAGCCTCCTTCTCGTCAGGTCCAATTTGAACTGAGCTGTTTTGCCAACTCTTTCTCGTGGTGGCTGCTTAGCTCCAACAACTGCTTCCTGTTGGGACCCTAAGGAGCTCTGGCAGGCAAGCAAGGAGTGGCTGGGAGGTCAGGGGCGAGTAGAAGCTGGTGAGGTGCCCCTCAACATGAGTGATATTGAGTTGGCCACGCCCACCCAGTCACATGACCATCTAGCCATGTCCACCCAGGTGGTCATTAGGCAGATCATATTAGTGGATCGCAGGATTTAAAATTATGAATTTAGTGGTCCCTGAGGTCCGAAAGGTTGCTGACCACTGGCTTATACTACTCTTTTCTAATTGGATATGTATCTTTCTTAAAACTTAAAAATTATATTCAAGGATTTTTAGAATAAGCTCTCTATTGTTTAATGTTAAAGAGACAAGTTCGTGCAAACCAAAAGAAATTGCCTTGTCGAGGAAAAAGGCATATGTTTTCTGAAGTTAGAATATAGTATACCTTTATTGTCATTGTACATCATGTATACAATGAAATTGGTTCAATTTCAATTTGTACAAGGAAATAGAGGCCTCTACCGTGTTAAAATTGCTAATACTATCTTTTATAACAATAATAATGAAGCCTAAAATACCAGGTAACATCCTCAACCCAAGAAGCAGGCAATGACAAACCACTTCAACATCTTTTCAAGAAATCTGCAGGTACTAGTCCAGATAATCTCCAGGTGTCAACAGTGATTTAAAGGCATACACACCAACATAGCATTATAGATGCTTATTGAAATCTGGGCAGTTCGTGTTTCTTTGGTCTTGCTAGCTATGTGGGAATTGATATATCTTGTGAGGTTTATACAGATTCAAACCTATTTTTCTAATCTTTCACTGCTTCTTGATTTTTCTAGATATAAAACATTTTATTTAATTTGCAAACAGAAGAATCTGAGACATCCAAAATAATGTTCCCTAATATTGTGCAGTTTTAATTGCCTAATTCAGAGACTACAAAAATACAAAATAGAAAAAAGACAAGTATCTTCCTCTTTTATCCAAGGAGGGGAAAATAATAGCTTAATAACAAATCATAACAAATCACTCTTTTGCTTAGAAACATAGATTTTGGGCTTGGTTTTGGTTGTTAGTCAATGACTACTTATAATCTTTCTTCTACCCATAGTTAATCTCTTATGTAAAGTAAAGAAAGCCAGTGAATCTTTGTCAGCAAACTTCCAGTAATGGAAACCAAGTGTAGCTATTTTTTTCTTTTAACTCTAATCAAACAAGCATCTTATAAACCTCTTAAGTTTATAATTTTAATAATTATGAATGGAAATACAAATATTACGGTAGTTCCTTTATTGCTATTTATCCCAGTGTCAGTATGGGCGTTCCAAACAACGGGAATGGTTAGGGGGCAAGCAAAAGCCAAAGGAGTGAAATTGATTAGTCTTGTCAGTTTTGACCTGGATATTCAGGTGCCAAGATGAACATTTCAAAGGCTGGTGGGCAAAACAAAAATAGAGTTGTGGTCATGTGATTTTCCATTTAGCAATTGTTTCACTTAATATTCACTTAATATGAATATTAAGAGATACCAGCCTTAATTGGGGTTGCTAAAGAAGTACCTGTACTATATTTCAGAATGCTACACAAAATTAACATTTTTTTTTTTGTTTTCAAGGTGTCTAACTAGCTATGGATTCGCAAGTTACAAGTGTTAGTGAAGTTCATGAACTGCTGGTAGCTTTGCAGAAAAATTTGGAGTGTCCAATCTGGTATGGAAAAAAACCTGTTTGAATATCAAGATTTTATTAAAAATGTATAATATCTAACAAACTCTGATCTCACATGTCTGGATATCGGATAAACAACATAGGGAAGGCTGTTCCAGAAATATAAATTATACACAGTTTTATTTTGTCTATCTATAGTATAATATGTTTAGAAAGTTTCAGGACATTAGAAAAGAATACAACTTTACTACATATATAAGATGCAGGTGTGAGAAAGAGTTACTTCAGGCCTTTATTGCTGGGAGGAAAATATGACTATGACCTGGGTGATTTTTTAAAAAATTCTCCTTGATTTCTGAGACTTGGCAGCATAATCAAAGAGGAACAGTACAATTAGTTATATTTCCTGCCGTCACTAAAGTTTCTTGGAGTACTACATAGAGTTTCATTTTTCTGGGGGCAAAATAAGTGGTTTTGCATACAATAGTTATTCTGGTAGATAGATAAATAATATGAATAATAACCATTTGGATAATCTGCATTATATAAATAATGGAAATTTCTAAAATATTTGACATAATGTTTAACAATACAGGTAGACCTTACTTAGTGAATGGACTTGGGCAGTGACTGTTCAAAGTTATGACAGTGGTGAAAAAGTAACTTTGAAGCAACGCCTAGATTTATGACTTGCAAGATCTCTTTCACAGTCACTTGTTCGCATTGTCCTATGCCTGGTCTATTTGTTTTTCCTTCCTTGCAGAGAGGAGAGTTTGCTTAAACAAGCAATGTCTTCCTGAGCTGCTTTTCTCACTAGTTCAAGGCTTCCCCAAAAGATGGTAAACACAAGTTAATAAGCCAGTTCTATGACCTTAATTAGATTGTTTGCAGCTGCTTCTTGTAACTGATAAGAGTTTAATTGCTTTCAAAATTTCAGCAGTTATTTGCTACCAAAGTGGCTCAGAACTAAGAACTATGGGCGCACAAGACAAACAGCTGACAATAGCACATTCTTTTTTATTGTGTTCCTGCTTACTCTTTTGTAATGCCTTCCTTTCCACTGATTGTAAAGACAAATGTTAATTCCCTACTTGCTAATTAGCGGGGGTGGGGTGGGGTGGAAGAAAGCCTAAGCAAAATCATTACTTTTGTCACCATCACTGAATTTCCAGTTACTGACTACATCACTTAATGAGTTGTAGTCCTAATTGTGATCTCTAAACAAGGACTACCTGTATAATACAAATGTTTAATATTGATATAAAAAAGTTGATGTGAATGATTCTAAGTTAGCAATCACACACACTATTAAAATATTATTGCATTAATACACGGTACAGCTTACTTTTACAGAATAACTTAATGCAATTATTTTTGCAATGTAACATCAATGGTACTTGGAAGCTTCATTTCTTTTTGTAATTACAAAGTAGTAGTCTTTAGATGGAGCTCTGCAGCATATTTTTGAGCTAGGTTTTCTTGTGGAATTTTTGTGGAACTTATGCAATATGTTCAGTATTCTGTCTCTTTCGCTAAATTGTTCTTTTTATTTCCATTAGCTTTATTGTTTTATATTATTTGAGACATTTTGGATGTTCACAATGTAGCCTAAAGTAAAATCATAAATATATATGCATATAATGATTATAAAATGAGCACTGTACTAAAACAACCATATAGCTAACAGTTCATAAAATATATAAAACCAATCAGTATCAGTAGTTACTGGGAAAAAGTAACCATTTTTGATTTGGTTGTTAAAGGGACAATAATGGAAAACCTAGGCTTCTGTCCTTAGGAGGCATTTAATGGCTAAAATGATACAATCACATTGTTATTGATTTACTACCACCCACTTTGAAATTTTCATTAATTCAACATAATTAGAGAAATAAAATTTCTACTCTTCCTCAAAGTTACTGATATTCCAATCCAGACGAAATTCAAAATGCTATGAGATACTATAACTGTATATTGATGTGAAAAACCTGGGAGAAATCTTTGATGGGACCATATAACATTAAAGTTTAGTAGTCTAATACAATAATATCAATAACATGTTTATTGATATATGTAAAACATTAATATATTTAATAAGCAAGGCCCTTCATTAACTGCTATCTTGTAGGGAGAATGAGACTGTGTTTCTCATTCATGCTAATTGCTGTAGCATTAGAAATATATACAGTTAATCCTCAATTTATAACCACAATTATGCCCTAAATTGTTGTTCCTTAGCAAGACAGTTGTTGAGTTTTGCTTCATTTTACCACTTTACCATTTTACCACTTTCCTTGCCACAGTTAAGTGAATCGCTGCAGTTGTTAAATTAGTAACACAGTTGTTAAGTGAATCTGGCTCCCCCATTTACTTTGCTTGTAAGAGGGTCACAAGATGTGATCACATGCCTCCAGGACTCTGCAACGTATAAATATATGCCAGTTGCCAAGCATCTGAATTTTGATCACATGATCATGGGGATGCTGCAATGGTCATAAATGTAAAAAACGGTCATAACTCACTTTTTTCAGTGCTGTTGAACTTTGAAGTGTCGCTAAACAAAAGGTTGTAAGTTGAGGAGTACCTGTATTTTCAGAAGGGACATTTATGACAGGTAATCATAGACAAAAGATCAGACTAAGTACAATTTACTAGAGAAGAAAATGGCAAACCCACTCCTGAGGGGAGAGACCTCTAGCTCAATTTGCATGCAATAACTTACTTGGAAAAAACAGAGGACCAGTTCATATGCAGTGTTACTCGTGATGTAACTGGATTAAAGCCAAAAGAATATACAACTGCTGAAAGTTCAGCACTGCAAGTAAATGTATACAGTATACAGTATCGTGAACTAAAGCAAACTTTAAAGGATGCTTTAAATCAGTCTCATGCACTGAACAGAGTTTGACCTTAATGGCCTGAGTGACTCTTTCTAGTCCTTTGATTTTATACACAGTGTTAATTAACCTAGACCAAAATTCATCCTAGTTCTATTTTTTATATGTGGCAGTGACTAATTGAAAGCATTCAGGAAGGTCACAAAACAGACCTTGGAACCATAGCTGTTTTCTCCTTTTGTTTCTTTGCAACTAATATCTTATCTGGTTTTAATTCAAGAGGATAAAATATACCTTCATTGTTGAAGTCATTTCTAACCTCTAGGCAAATTGTCCCATAGCCTCAGGCAATGGACAGTTTTCCTAAAATAGTAGTGGATTTCAACCAGGAGCCACACGTTGAAAGATCCTTAGTGGATTTCTGCACATAGCAGAAGGTTGGACTACAGAAGATGATTTATAAAGTATCTTAACTCTGATACTCTATGATTTTAAGTAAAAAACTCAAATGCTATAATCTGTTCTCATAAGATTTGATTATTTTTATTTATACTGTTCTGCATAATTTCTCATTCAATATTTTTGAGGCATGTTTTGACAAAACAAATTGTACATCATATTCAGTGCTGGGATTCAAATAATTTAACATCCAGTTCTCTGCTCTAATGACTGCTGGGTGGGCATGTGACTGGGTGGGTGTGGCCAACTCAATGTCACTCACATCAAGGGGTGCCTCGCCAGGCCTTTCCTCGCCCCTCCCCTCCCAGCCAGTCCTCGTCTCGTCTTGCATGTTATGGTGAGAGTGGAAACTTTTTCAAAGTCATCTGCTCCTTGATACTAGCCAATAAGGTGAGATTTTGCTATCAGAAGACCTGCTGTACATTTCCAAGTATTGTTTATCACCATTTTCTTGGTAAGATTGAATGGAGAGATTTATAAAGAATAAGAAAGTTGAAAGGGACCTTAGAGGTTTTCTAGTCCAATCCCGGCTCAAGCATGAGACCCTATACTATTATGGACAAATTTCTTCTTAAAAACTTCCAGTGATGGTATACCTACAACTTCTGAAGGCATCCCATTCCTCTGATTAATTGTACTCACTGCCAGGAAATTTTTTCTTACTTCTAGGTTGGATCTGTCTGATAAGTTTCCATCTCACAGATCCGTCTCACAGTTACTTCCAGTTGAGCCAGGCACTATCAATTCTATACCTGTGCATTTGTTTTGTTTTTTTCTTGCCTAAGTGTAAAATCTTACTTTACTCTCCATTAAATTGAGTTTTTGGTGAGAAATGATGTTCTACAGTGGCATTCATAATGATTTTTGCAAAATGCACTAAAGCTTGAAGAATACATCTCTGCTTATACTGATGAAGATTATTCTTTTTGAACATTAAAACATATAGTCAAGCAATCCATTTTAAATGAAAAGACATTTGAAAGACATTTTCAAAGCAGTCAATGGATGTCTTACCATTCTTTCTCTTCTCTTTTAATTAAATCTTTCTGCTTTATTTTTTTTCTTGGGCCTTATTGCAATATTCCAAAACTTTCACAGATTCTTCACAAAGAACCATTCCTAATTTAACTAGAATACATTGTTTTCATTCTCAGTTTTTCTGGTTACAGAACTTCTCTTCTTCACTGATCATTTCTCCCTTTAATAATGTTTGTACATACTTGCAAGAAAAAGAAGCATTTAATTTTGGAGCTGCCCAGGCGAGGGCAGGTATCCAGGCCCGGCTTCCCTAAGCGGCGATCCCAGCACCGGTCCAGCAGTCACCACTGCCTCATGAGCCAGCCAGCTTGCCTAGCCCAAGCCCTCCAGTCACTTCTGGCCAGTCTCCTTGGGACCGGGCGCGAAGGGATGAGCGTGCCCAGTCCCACATTGCCCGGAAAGGCCGGCAGGCAAGGCTTCAGGGTCCAACTAAGGGGCTGGGGGCGAGACTTCTTCCCCTCTCTTTTTTGGGGAGATTTTTAAATAAAGGGCTGGGAACTTCAAGTGAGGCGTGCACTGCAGCCTCGCCCATCCCGCTGGCAGTTCTGGGTTAGGCAGTGGTTCGGCTTTCTTGACTGGCTGCAACCTTACCTTCCTCCTCTGGTGGCAGAAGGGAAGGCGAACAAGCCAGGGCTGAGCCGTTGCCCCTTGGTTCTGTCCCAGCCCTCACCTCGCCCGCTCCCCCCCCTGTTGAAATTTACCTGGGGATTTACCTCATGCTCCCTGGTCAGCCACCCCAGCAGGCAAGTCCCAGCAGCTAAAGGGAATCTTGGCGGGGGGCGAGATGCAGGCTGACAGAGAGCCAAGCGGTGATGGCTCAGCCCTGGCTCGCCTTCCCCTCTGCCACCAGCCCTGGGAGGAAGGTAAGGTTGCAGGATGAAGAAAGAGGCAGTCATGAGGGAAGAAGTGGGAAGAGTGACTAAAGGGCCTCTGAAGGAGGGGAAACGGAGTGGAGATAAGTGAGCCGATTCGGCAAGGGGTAAGACTGCGGTGGAAACTTGTAGGAGCAAGTAGAGAAGTGGGGGGAGGATGTCCCTTTAGAAAGGCAAGAACTGGTGCGTCCCCTAGGTGAAGGGTGAGCGGGCAGCATGCAGACGGAGGCCCCGGGAAAGGCCAGAACCAGGGACTGGCACATCCCTAAGGCGAAAGCCATGCGGGCGGAGGCTCCGGGAAAGGCCAGAGCCAGGGACTTTCCCTGAGGCAAAGGGCGAGCGGGTGGCATGTGGGCAGAAGGATGGCAAGAGCCAGGCCTGAAAGGCGGCTGAGCCTCGCCATGTCCACCCCAAGGCAGCCCTTTGGCCGAGCACCTTATCTTTGCAGGCAGCCACGGTGGGCAGAGCAGGCGAGGCGCAGAGATCAACTGGGCCACATGGTCTGAGTGAGTGAAGGAGCCAGGGAGTAGCTGGGTGCAGGTGTGACTAGTCACTGGTGCAACAGCCAGTGGTGTAATTAGCTGGTTCTCTGAACTGCACAAAATATTAACTGGTTCATCTGAACTGGTCAAAACTGGCTGAATCCCACCTCCGATCATATTCAAATAAGAGGTGCATCATATATTCATGTGGCATTCCTACATTGGCAGGTTTATTTTTTATTCCTTTTCCAATTATCCGTAGCAAGGAATTCTTTTTTCAGCTGTTTTCAGCACATGAGCACATTTATTGAGATATTTATCATAATTCCAAGATTCCATTCTTGCTTAATCAGCGTCAGTTCAGAATCACATATATGTACAATCCAATAAATGTTATTTTGTGTTTATTTACACTGAGCTCTTCGCGCTATTTTAAAGCTTGTTTATTCTATTTAGAGATATTTTGGAACTCTCCATAATCTTTTTTGTTAAAAACTTACCTAAATAAGAAATTTCAACTTTGTGATGCATGAATATGGAGAAGTTACTCCAATTTTGGCCAAACAGCTAATTTTTTTTAACATTAATATTCTTAGTACAGTAATTATTTGTCATCATGGCAGCAAGTTCTTCATGTTGTATCAGGCATTATGCTTCATACCACCATTTTGTTTCTTTTACTTTTCCTCTCTGCATAGCTAATTTGATTAGATGGTTAGCTAAGGAAAGGACCACAATATAAAACTTTGTTCTGTACAGGGTGGTATGTCATGGGTTTATAAACCATTGAAGTACAATTTTCATATCTTAAAAATGAGTTTTCGTTTACAAAGGCTTATATTAGAATAAATCTATTATACTGCAAGATTAGAGTGTGTGTAATTACTATAATATGCTAGAATGGCTACTTCACTAGCATTAATTCTTAGAATTACAGTATATTGAAGATACTTTGACATGCATAGCTTTGATGTTTTATTTCTTTCTTTCAGTCTGGAGGTGATGAAAGAGCCAGTCTCAACGAACTGTGGTCATAACTTTTGCAGGTAAGTCTCCTCAATTATCAAAGCTTGAACATACTGGCTAATTGATTAATGGTGATGAGAGTTGTAGTCTCATGCATCTGGAGCACATGTGGCACTGACAGGATGATGTTAGGATGTCAAGTGTTCACTCTCAGGATTTTTAGAGGTTTTCATATAGAAATCTTAGGTAATTTCTTCTTGAGGGACAAGGAAGCTATAAACAACGTGGGTATGCAGGCATTTAAAATACAAAATAGTTATAATTACTGCTGTCCAGATCGAAAGGCTGAGGTTCCAATATTCATGTTGAATATGTTTCAGAACCATATACCATATCACTAGCTGCCCGAATTGCCTGTTGTCATGATTTATTCTGTGGGCCCTTTTTTTGCCTGCCACCAGAATGAAACTCTTATGTCCAAAGTTTTGCCTGCTGCAGACATAAAAATCATTACTTAAAATTTAGAATACTCCAATTTAGAATACAATAGAATAATAGAGTTGGAAGGGACTTTGGAAGTCTTTTAGTCCAACCCTCTGCAGGAAACCCTATACCATTTCAGACAAATGGTTATCTATTTTCTTCTTAAAAACTTCCAGTATTGGAGCATTCACAACTTCTGAAGGCAAGTTGTTCCACTGGTTAATTGTTCTGTCAGGAAAAAATTTCTTAGTTCTAGGTTGCTCCCCTCCTTAATTAGTTAAGGGACACATTTGATTTCTGGCAGAGCAAAGACCAAAAAATAGTGGTCACACTAATACAGGGGTGTCAACTTGAGGCCCGCAGGCCAGAGGTCAGATCTGGCCAGTGCTGCCATCCTGGAAATTAAAGGGCCAGCCCGCATCGCTTCAGCCTGGACCATGCCATCCTGGTGGGCATGCACGAACAGGCCCAGTTCACCATGGCCGCATAGAGGGCAACAAAAGTAATCTGTGGGACTATGGTAAAAAAATTAGTTCCGACCTTCCAACTTCTCACGAAAAAAAAAATCTCGCAAAGTTGGAAGGTCTGAACTATCTTTTTTTACCATAGTCCCACAGACTACGTTAGTTGCCGTGCACGCAGTGGTGGTAAACAGTGCTGGAAAGTAAGTTAGTGAAGGGATGTGGCTGCTCTTGGGAGGGGTAAGGCATGGGTGGCCTGACTGAAGAGCCCTCAGGTATGTTGATGGGGGATGGCTGGGGCAGCTCTGCACCCTCACCTTGCTTCGTCCTACACCCCCCCCCATCGCCTTGCTTCGTTCTTCGCTACTTCTCCTTGCTCGCTGCTGTAATGGAGCAGGAGGCTGAGCAACGCACTGGTGCAGCAGCCACAAAGCGAGGCGGTGAGGATTGGGAGACAAAGCAAGGCAGGAGATGCATAGCTGCCTCCCATGCCCCACACCAACTTATCTGAGTGCCCCGCAGCCAGGCCATCATCATCCGCCTGGCCTCGTGGCAGGTCCAGCAGCCCCATCCAGGGCCCCACATGCGTCGCTCAGCCTCTTGCTTTGTTGCAGCTGCAAGCAAGTAGAATCGAGCTGACGGCCACACGGGGTCCTGGATGGGGCACAGGTTTTGTCTGGAGGAGGAGGAGTGGGGAGAAGAAAGAGGGAAAGAGGCCAAGTGATAAGTGCCCCGCTGGCCAGGCACTGAAGGGCCACCATTGCCACCACAGTGAGACAGCAAGAGAGTGATCCGATCCAACCTGTGTGTGTAGGAGAGAGAGAGAGAGAGAGAGCGCAATCCGATCCAACCTTGGAGAGTTATACTGCGGCTGGCAACGCCTGGCCCCAGTCAGTGCCTGGCCAGTGGGGCGCTTCTCACTCGGCCACTTTCCCTCTTTCTTCTCCCTGTTCTTCCTCCTTCAGGCAAAAGCTGTGCTTTTCGTCCATTGCAGCACAGTGTCTGGGATTTATTATGACAGCGGCGGGGCTTGGGGGATGGTCAATCCCCGTTCATGGCATGGTGGAGAAGATGGAAGACAATCCCTCCCACCAGACCAGACCAGCCTGATGGGGGTGGAATGGGAAACTGAGCAGCGCCAAAAGCAGCTGAAGGCATACCGGCTATAGCTGCCCCACCCCCTGCCTTGCTTCACCTCATCCTGCAGGACGAGCCTCCCACCCCACCCACCAGAGACCACTGGATTCCCTCCCCAACCCCACCTGGCCACCACAGGCACCAGCCACGCAAGTGATGTCAAGCTGGCCATGCCCTCAGGCCATGCCTAGTCAGGCGTGACCACCCTGGCTACACCCTTCTCCAGCGGATAATCACAATGCTGATCCCTCAGTGACATCAAGTTTGACACCCCTGACCTAATAGATTCCAAGGCTGGCTCATTTAGTTTATTAAAATTACTATAGCAGTTAGGTCGAAGTATAATATGAGACAGGAGTAGTGCATTTTTTTTCTAACCATGGGCTCTCCTTTTATTTTAATAATGAGGCAAGCAAGGAAATATCCTTGCTAGTGCAGGAATACTACATTGAAGTGGGCTCAATTTCTAGATATGGCAGTAGGATTAATATATCTGTGTTGAACTTTTTTTAAATACAAAAACACATAGAAAATCTCAGCTGAAATTTAGTAGTTGTACTGTCAAATTTTAGAGGTGCAGTTTGGGATGATATGATGGCTATAGAAACTATTCTAGAAGTCTTGATGTATCCCATAGATTGTTGCCCCTCTTGTTACATCATATATTGTGCATCAGTGCTTAAAAAGGACATCTCTAATCCTATTCTCAATTATCACATTTTGCTATTTAAATTGTAGAATAGTGTTAGAATACCCTCTAGTTTAATTTGATTTCATTTAATTTATTAAATTGGTATGCTGCATAACTCTTAGGGGGTCTGTGTAACTCACAAGAAAAAACCATTTGGAAAAAAAGCAAAAACATTAAAAGATGGCCATGATGAGAAGAAGTGAACATAATGAAAGCACCCAACAAGCTGACACTATCTACAGCAGGGGTGTGAAACTTGTGGCCTGCGGGCCGGATGCATCACCTGCAGGCCATGTCCACCCCAGCTCCGTAAAGGGGGGGTCATGAAATGTCACGTGACAGCAACGTGATGCAGCGAGTTTGACACCACTGATCTACAGGGACTTCACTCATCCTTGCCAAAATGATATAAATAAGATTCTCTCGACTTCCGGTTGGCGATCTGCAGAGACATGGTGCTGAGAGAGTGACCGCTACTCCCAACGCCGCTAGTCACCGTGTTTTGGGGACCCTTTTTGGGCGCAGAGCCCGGAGAGCCCCGCGGACAATAGAGAGAGCCCGGGGAGCGATAAAGCGAATCACAAACGCTTATCGCAAGACGGGCGGCTCTGTCAATCCAACATGTGTGAGTCAGCCATTCAGTGGCAGATCTGAGGCTGCGGTAGTCAGCAATGAAACGGGAGGCGAGGAAGATCGGAGGTGGTAGTGTTGAAATCGATTAATATACCTTTCCCTGTATATGTGAAGTTGTCATCGGAAGAAGGTGCCGGCGGAGTCGGGCGTGAAGGGCTCAGAGTGGTAAGGAGCCGCAATTGGAATTGGAGAACGGACTGAAAGGCTATAGAGCCCGACAAGCCAGCAGGGAGAATAAAAGATCGATCAAACTACTTGCGCAAAAGGAGATCGGTTGGCATAGCAAGTAATAAGAACCCAGAATCCAAAAAAAAATAGACCTCATTTTTGTTGTTTATAGCCATAGAACTATCAGAGTAAAATCGGATGGAGACTGATTTGTACCAAAGAACAGGAAGTGCAGCCATTACAAAGACTTGACAGGGCGATAATTGAAGAGGCTGACTCACGGACAATCTAGCAGTGGAAAATACCAGAGAGTGTCGATTTTGACCAACGGACAAAAAAAAGAAAAGGGAGATTTAGAAAATATTGGAGATTGAGTAATAAAGAACTTTACAAATTTTAAAAGGGGACAAAAGAAAAAATAAGCCAGGAGAAGATCTTCTGATTCATATAGTAATTTCGATACCTTTTGATACTTTTTGATAATTATATTGTCTAATACTTTGATAATTTATATAATTATATTAATTGTCAACTCGTAAATTAATTTTTGATCTCTTTCTATATATAGCATACATATTTATACAGTTTCCTATATTTAAATATAACAGTATTTATTTCTATTGATAGTATTTATAATAGTATACATAGTTATATAGTATATAGTATTTATAGTATTATTAGTATCTATATATTTACTACTTACGCATATATATTTACATTTATATAATATTTATAGTCTGAAACTAGTTTAAAGAAATAAGTTGGACACAGAGAATAAGGAATTGTGATTTACTCTGGTAGCAGTGTACCATTTCATGTCATTTATGTTATTAGGAGAGGCTAGATAAATATTGTGTTTTGGGAGAATTTGAATTAATTACCAGTAAACATATTCAAATTAACGTTAGACAACAGAGAATAACAGACAAGAAGAGGAGCAATTAATGAACGATAATTTGGAGAAATATTGAGAAAATAATTAGAGAACAAAAAATAGTCCTGAAAGAAATGACAAGCCTGTCATCAACGATTCTGAAAACAGGGAAGAAGACATCCTCCAATCCCACTATAACCATGACCTCTCCAGCAACCCAGAAATCAATGGAAGGGTTGTCCAAAATGGAAAAATCCGCAGCAACACTGACCATGCAAACCTTGCAATCAACCTTGACTTTAATTCAAGAAACCATGATGATTATGCAAGAGAAAATGCTGAATTAAAAACAGACATTCAAGTACTAGATCAGAAGATGAGCGAGATCCAAGTTTCAATACACAACAGTGAACAAAGGATACTGAAGGCGGAATCCAGAATAGAGCAAAACGAGAAGAAATTAGACACAGTGGACCAGAAGCTTATGATGCAAAATAGGGAGTTAGAGGATTCAATAATCCAACCGGAAATGGATAGGGCTTCCTTCTATCTACGTTTCCAGAATATTGCAGAAGACAGAGAAGAGGACCTGGGACAGATAATGACAGAACTAATTGCAGAAGTTCTTCAACA